AATTTTTTGACTACTCTTGGGCATCTTTTGAATATGTTTTGGGTATTTTTATTTAATCGCTTCGCTCATTCCGCCGGCCCATACAGTCTCATGTCTGCCGTTTGCCCGAGGGCCTGGTGTCAATGCGGCGCTTTGGGGGTTCCTGGGGCCGCTTGGGGGCCTCCTGGGGCGCTCGGGGGGGCATTTGGGGGACTCTTGGGGGCCTCCTGAGGGCCCCGTGGGGGCCTCTTGGGGCCTCTTAGGGGCCTCGTAGGGGCTTCTTAGGGCCGAGGGCTCGAAATGTTGTTTCGTGTTCCCTCTCTGGGGCCCCTTTGGGGGCGTTCTTGGGGCCCTCTTGGACCGTTTTGGAGGCTTCTTGGGCCGTCTTCGAGCCCTCTTGGGCCATCTTGGGGCCCTCTTGGGTGCCTCTTGGGCCCTCTTGGGGCGATCTTGGGGGCCTCTTGGGCCGTCTTGGGGCGTCGGGAAGCCGAAAAGGTGGAAGCTCCAAAATCTCTCAAAAACCTATGGAAAAACAATGATTTTTGCCTCCGGGGGCCCTATTGGGAGTGCTCTTGGAGGCCTCTTGGGGCGTCTGGGGGCTATCTTGGGCGTCTTGGAGCGATCTTGTGGCATGTCGGACCCCTCGTGTACCATCTTGGGGGCCTCTTGGGGGCCTCTTGGCCTTTCTTGGGGCTCTCGGGGACGTCTCGGAGCCCTGTTGGTGCGCTCATGGAGCGCTCGGGGGGACCCGGCCGGGACCTGGTCGGGGTACTTTTCGTCCGGGGACCCCCAGGGGCCGCCCCGCGCGCGCGAACTAGAAAATTGTTAACCAGTTACCGGAGATCTTAGCACGCCTCTGGCCCGTTGGGCCGGCGAATTTTTCGTCCAAAATCCCCCTGTAGGGTGACGCGCCCGACTTAATCCCTGGGGCGCAGTGGCCGCGGATCACTGCAGGATCGCACCCTGCTTCGGTGGTGCCTCGGGGCAGGGCTCCACTCTGCGGGGCAGGGGAGAGCCGCTCTGGACGGGGGGCTTCGCCCTGTCGCCGGCGGACAGAGGAGGGCCTGCCGCAGATACTCCGGGCTTGGGCTCCCGGGCTCGCCGGGGGAGGGGCCGCGCGGCGCGCCGGGCTCCTTTGTGCGCGGGGGCTCCTTGACGCTTCGTGCCTTCCTCCCTGCGCCCCACTGTATACTGGTCGTGCAGCGATCTACCGGCGCCTGGTTGCTGGCTCCCCTTCCGGGGGGGGAAGCCTGGGCATCAGGCGCGCGGATCCCCGCCGGTGTGGTGCGGCTCGCGCAGGGGATGCGGCTGCGGAGGAGGGTGTCCCGTGTTGCGGGGGGTTCGCTTCGTCGTCGTCTTCTTCTTCGGGGGGCTCGCCCAAAGCTGGTTTGTATAGATTGATTCCCGCTGGCACCGAATCGTGTCCCTTACATGACTTTTCAGTGTGACAACTGATATCCCTGACTGCGGTTGGCGAATTGACCACCGCCTTCGACTCGGGAGGGGACTTTCTTCCCCTTGGCACACAGACGGGGGCCAGGATCCGTGCGGCGGCCAGTAGTCTCCCCCTCGGCTGCTGGTCGCCCTGCCGGGTTTTTTCACAGTTGGTTCAACCCCGGAGCTGCCACGACGCGGCTCCGGGGTGGCATCTTCTTAACCCCATGTTATTTTTCTCGGCCTTCGGCCGAGGGCGTCTAGGCCTTCAGACAGCCTGTCGCCATCAACAACAACAGGATGGGGGATGAGGAGAGGTCAAGGGGTTGAATGAGGGAGGGAAGGATGGAGAAAGGGAGGGACTTGGAGGAGAAGAAGAAGAAGCAGGAGGATGAGGAGCAGGAGGAGGATATTGAGGAGGAGGAGGAGGAGAAGGAGGAGGAGAATAATATGAGGAGGAGGAGGAGGAGCAGGAGCAGGAGGAGGACGATGAGGAGGAGGAGCAGGAGCAGGAGGAGGAGGAGGCATGAGGAGGAGGAGCAGGAGGAGGAGGAGGAGGAGGAGGAGGAGGAGCAGGAGCAGGAGCAGGAGCAGGAGGAGGAGGAGGAGGAGGAGGAGCAGGAGCGAGAGGAGGAGGAGCAGGAGGAGGAGTGAGGAGGAGGAGGAGGCATGAGGAGGAGGAGGAGGAGGAGGAGGAGGAGGAGGAGGGAGGAGGAGGAGGAGAGGAGGAGGAGCAGGAGGAGGAGGAGGAGGAGGAGGAGGAGGAGGAGGAGGAGCAGGAGGAGGAGGAGGAGAAGGAGGAGGGGTTGGGCGCGCGCCCAGCTGGAGTCGCCGCAGCTGGAGCAGCCGGACGTGAGCCCGAGCCCCTCCTGCAACGACGTGCTGCAGGAGCGGCGCCGGCCCTGCGGCCGCCGCCTGGAGTTGGCCCTCTCTCGGGGCGCTCGTCGGGTCGGAGTCCCAAGAGGATGGAGGGGGGGAGGGAGGGAGGGAGGGGGAGGGAGGGAGGGAGGGAGGGAGGGAGGGAGGGACGGGAGGGAGGGATGGGTAACAACAGCAACAACAACAGCAACAACAACAACAGCAATCATTTTACCCGAACGCTCAGTGTTCTCACCAGTGCCAGGGTTTTCATGCGACGCGAGACAATACCCCCACTTCGTGGGGGGGCAGTTCAAGCTCTACCAAATATCCAAACGACTCTTCGCGACCACCCAAACCCAGCTTCCCGCCCTATGACGTTGGGACACTTCACTTCGTGGCGTGCGGACGACCGTGGCTACTACACTGGCGTGGGGTACACACCCACAGAACTTGGTCACTTATTCGGGGCGCGCGTGTGCCCAGCATCCTGCAATTGTGACATACAATACATGACACAGACAGACAGAGAGAGAGACAGAGAGCAGACAGAGAGAGAGACAGAGAGAGCGGAGTTGGTCACATTTTTGGGGCAAGTTCCTGAGATCGTCGTGTTTTTTGTTGGTCTTGCGCGCGCGAATGTCCACTTTACTTTTTTTTGCAAGGGAGTATTGAAATTTGATTATGTTAGAACAAGAAAAAGTAGCTCGCGCGAGCTCATGTAACATAAATGTTGAAAAACCATTGGTTTTGTGGGAGTCGGACAGCGCGCGCGGGATGAAATTTGGACATTTTTTTTTGAAAAACCATTGGGTTTTTGATGTTTTTATGTTGAAATCGTTACGAAACCTAAGGTTCTGGAAGGATTTCGTCTTGCGCGCGCGAATGTCCACTTTACCTTATTTTTTGCAAGGGATTATTGAAATTTGATTATGTTAGAACAAGAAAAAGTAGCTCGCGCGAGCTCATGTAACATAAATGTTGAAAAACCATTGGTTTTGTGGGATTCGGACAGCGCGCGCGGAAGGACATTTTGACAATTTTTTCTTAAACAACCATTGGGTTTTTGATGTTTTTATGTTAAAATCACTACGAAACCTAAGGTTTTGGAAGGATTTCGTCTTGCGCGCACGAGTGTCCACTTTACCTTATTTTTTGCAAGGGATTCTTGCAATTTGATCAAGTAAGAACAGGAATTTTCATTTTATAGTGTTTTTTGCAAGGGAAAACGAGCGTCAACAAAAAACCGGATCCGGTAACAATCGTTTTGCCTGAGACTTCCTCACGAAAATTATGAAAATGAGGCTGCGGCCTAGGCGCGGCGGGGGGGTCGCGCACCAGGGGTCCCAACAATAATTATTCTTAAGAAGAAATAATGTTCAACAACAACATCTCCGATACAACATCTCCGCGCGGACCGTCTTGAGGCCCTGTTTTCGGGCGGCTTCCACTGCTGCCCTCGGAGATACACAGCCCGCGGGCCGCGGCCCTGGACCCAAACGACAGACGAGGAGGCGCGGTGCGGATGAGAATCCACATCACCGCGCCTTGCGGGCGCGCTTCGGCCCCCCGTGGGCCACATGTCCGCGCGGAGCTCCAGAGGCTCAGGTCTACGGAGGCTTCGGCCTCGTGGCCCCTTCCCCAGAAGGCACGTGCGCATCTCATGCGCCCAGCGCCGGTGTCGCTCGTTCGCTCGCCGTAGGCCTCAGCCCCTTCCCGCTTTCATCGTTGTCGTCGTCGTCGCCGTCCTGCTCGTTCGGCTCCCCTTTTTCCATCGTCTTGCTTGAGCTCGTTCGTTGATTACCAAGTCCGTCGTGTCTGCCTTGCCTTGTCGTCTTCGTCCCAAGGGATCCCGCGACGTGTTTTTTTCGGGACATCGGTCCCCGGACCTCTCGACACTTCCCCTGGGCAAGTTTTCCGTCTTATAGTTTTTGTTGGGGCCTGCTTCCTGCTTCCTGAGGGCCACAATCGCAAGGAGTTGGCCGTCTCGATGTGTTTCGAGGCGCCAGATCTTGTGTCGTCGTCGTTGTCATCGCCTTCCCTCGCTGTAAAGCGTGGTTGAGAGGGGGCTATCGTCGTGTTGCTTCCACTCTGGCTGAACGTGCGGTCTTCGAGCTTCCTCTCCGTGCCGAATCCTGCCTGGGTGCTTTCTGCCTTCCAGGCCCCTGGGCTGCCCCATGCCGTCCGTGCGTCAAGCCATCGCATCCCAATTCCAGTATAGCACTCCATCGGGTCGCGCTTCTATCGCCTCCCCTCTCCTTCTCTAGATCTTCTCTTCTGCCGCATCATCCCATCCCAAAGCCATCCTGTGTTGAGCCTCGTGGGCGAACCAACTGGCTGCCAGCGTGGATCCCAAACGCTGAGTTCTCGTACTCCGGATGTACGCAAACGATGTGGTGCAACATCCGTGTTGATGCAGTTCCAATCCAAGTTAAGGCGTGCAAACTATGAGGCGCAATCCCTGTGGTGCAAGCTGTGAGGTGCAATTCACCTTGCCGGCACCCGTGTGTGAGTACCTCCAATGCTCGTGGAAACGTCCCACCACCCTCAAACTGCTGGCAAATCTCAACTGGTGCAATTATGCAAAAACCCTTCTCATGCAGATCCATGCCTTTGGGCGAAAGGGTGCTCATCATGATAATGATGAGAGTGGTCCTGACCACGAGTGTGACGACAACGACGATGACGATGACGATGATGATGTTGATGACGACGTTTGGGATGATGACGACGACGATAGTGATGATGATGATTGAGATGATGGCGATGGCCGTTGCAATGACCACGCTGGCGATGACAATGAGGGTGTTGAGCGCAACAACAACGACGTTGACGCTGACGATGAGGATGAATAAGATGAAGATGATGATGATGATGATGATGATGATGATGATGATGATGATGATGATGGTGGTGATGATGATGATGATGCTGATGATGAAGCTGCTGCTGCTGCTGCTGATGATGATGATGATGATGATGATGATGATGATGATGATGATGGCGGCGGCGGGGATGATGCAAACGACGATGGCTATGGTGATACATATGGAGTTGATGGCGTGAGCAATGTCGAGTCTGGGGACGATGAGAACGATGGTGCCGACGAGGATGACGAGGAATCGCGCGAGGAAAATCCAGAAACCCTGACATGTTTTGGAATGGTAAACCACATGTGTTTCGTCTGTGTGTGTGTGTGTGTTGAGCACCTCTGTTTGAACATTCATAGGTCCATAATTGTTTGGGACGGGCTTCGACATGTGCGCGCAGACACACGCGCGTGTGGACCGCATTGCACTATTTGATGACAGAGTCGGCGGGTGCGCGATGATTTTGTTAATGTGTTCGACACGTGCGCGCGAGAGGCATGCATGGTTCTGAGTCGGCAGGATTCGTTGCCTGGTGAATTAGCGAGTGCGCGCGCAGAATTCTGGCAGTATTCGTGGTGACAAAACACATGCTTTTCACGTAGGAGGGGGGCGAGGAGAAGGAGGAGAAGAAGAAGAAGGATAATGAGGAGGAGATGTGTTTGAGGAGGCCTACTCTCATTCAAATGCTTCGAGCACCCACTGTGTTGGAAGGATATCGACATACGCGTGCCGCGACGGCGTGTGCACGTGGCCCGCATGGTTCAATTTGATCGGGGTCATACAACGCGCACAAGATAGATAAACACGTGAGGTCCGCATTGTGTTGCCTTGCAGGGACGAAGGGGAGTGGGATCGATACCGGCCTGGCTTCGATTGTAGTGTGTGCTGGAGAGGACGGGCGGTCGTGTTGCGGAATATGGAGGATCGGCGGTCGTGCTTCTATATGCTACACCCGTTCGTATACATCTATATGCATATCTATGTGAGTGTACATGTGCATGTATGGCAAGCAGTTCTCGGAGGTGGCCCGACAAGTCCGGCCTCGATGCATGGGTAGCGTCTGAGTCTTGTTTCGGGAGACGAGCTGTGTGTGGCGCAATGGGTGTTTTGCAAGCTATGTGGTGGAAGCTGTGTTGCGCAATCCACGTGGAGCAGGCCACACTGCGCACGCTGTGTGGTGCGAGCAACGCGCTGCAGCGCACCAAGGCGCCCACGAGGCGCGCCCGGGCAGCGACCGCAGCCCCGGGAAGCAGAGCCGGCGCACGAGGCGCCCGCGAGGCGCCCAGGGGCGGCGGTCGAAGGCGAAGTTGGAGAACCCAGCCAGCGCAAGAAGGCTCCCACGAGGGCCCACGAGGCGAGCAGAACTCCCCGCCAACAGCAGGCGTCCATGATGCGCCCACGGGCGCCGACCAGCCGAGCGCCCAGAACTCCCAGCCCACACGAGGCGCCCACGAGGCGCCCACGAGGCGAACACTCGGAGCTCTCAGCTATCGCCAGGCGCCCACGAGGCGCCCACGAGGCGCCCACAAGGCGAACACTCGGAGCTCCCAGCTATCGCCAGGCGCCCACGAGGCGCCAACGGGCGCCCACCAGCCGAACACCCGGACCCCCCAGCCAGCACGATGTGCCCACGAGGCGCCCATGGGCGCCCGCCAGCGGGAAGCCTGGGACCCCCAGCCACCACGAAGCGTCCACGAGGCGCCCGCGGGCGTTCACCAGCCGAAGACGCGGAGCGCCCAGCCAGTTTTTTGTCACACGTGGGAACGAGCAGAACTCCAGTGCAAGCGCTGCTTGGGGAAGCAAGCGTTGACGGACAAAGACACGACAGCTCGTCCCAGCAGTAATGTCGAGGGCGGCCTTGGTGTGGTCGTCATGCCGTCGCCCGTGCGCCCACATGAAGTGGTGCAGCTTGGAACGCCACGGGCGCTGCGTGGCTCGATCCGCGACGCACTCGCACGGGTGTTGCCAAGCTCGTGGCCCGGTTTTCTCCTGTTTGCCCTTTTAATGTCCTTTTCTGGAACAGTCGACGGCTTTCGAATGTGAGGATCAAGCATAGTTTTGGGAGAGGGTGCAGGGTGGGGTGGCTCGGATTGAGCAGGGCGGAGATGGAACGGCAACCAGTGACGTGGGCGCATTGTGGAGCGGGACGAGAAGGAAAGAGGGTCAGTGGGGATGGAGACTCGAGTTGGGCAGGGACGGGAAAGGGTAGCAGAAGAACGGGGAGGCAAGGCTAGGAGGTCACGGGAAAGAGGCCGGGGAGCCCAGACAGATGATGCTTTGACTTTCCAATCTGTGGTCCATGAAGGCCCGACCCTTTCTCCAGGGCCGGTTTTTGATCCCGAGTCGCGTTTTGTGAATTCTGGGGCCCGGCGAGGGCCCCTGGAGGCCGGAACCGGCGGAAGCCTGAGACGACATGCTCTCAAGACGCGGGAAGGTCTGGGAGGCAGGGGGTCGCGGGTGGGAAACATGTCCATGTCCACAGCCTCGCAGGCTGGGCCCCTGGGCCGCGACACCACCGGTGCTCGGCGTCTTTCCGCGGATGCCCCGCGAGGAGCGCATCCATGCGACCGCGTGTCCACGGGATCGCGCGCCATCTAACCCGTACCGCGAGGGCCTGGATCTGCCAGGGCCACCACGAGGGTGCGAAGTTAGTCGCGCTTCGCGCCTGGCGGTCTGGGCGATTTATGAGCGAGGCGCGAGTCCCTTATCCTGTTCGGGGGTCGGGGGGGGGGGCGACGCGAAGAGAATCGCGCTTCGCTGAGCGCGAAGCGCGAAGATGATTGCCCTACGGTATGGATGCGTTCGCCGCTCGCGAGGGAGGCTTTGAGAGCATTCTCCGTTCCATCCCAGGCGTCCTGGTGCGGCTCGGAGGCTGCCACGGCGGCCAGAGAGGCGTGGCGCCGCATCCGAGCCTCCTCCCCCTCTCTGCCTCCCCTCACCGAGCGCGTTCCACTACTCGCAGAGTGCCTACTCGCAAACGTCCGAGAAAACACACGCCTGCTTTGATGTGATATCTCGTAGATCCCCCGCGGGGGATCCAGGCCATTTGCGAGTGGCTACTTCTTGCGAGTAGTGGAACGCGCTCGTCTAGCGTCTGCATACATGACTCGAACTTCTCATCATTTTCGGTCGAAAGATGTGCATCTCGCCTCCGAGAATGGTCTGCAGCTCGAGCTTTCCCCCCAAGACTATCAAGAGAACCTCTAAACAGCAAAAATCGCAAATCCCGTCTCCTGTATTTTTTCTTCAAGTACAGTCGGGGCCCTGAAGAAGGAACACTTTTCGTTGGGGAGGGGCTCCGTGTTCCTTAAGTGTTTCGCAGCTTGCCTTGGATTTCCCTGAGGGTTTTCGATACGACATCGAAGCTCAACTTATGCAACATAGGGGCCTCGTTCCTGATTTTGGGTTCGCCCCGGCCCCTCCTTGCGTTGCGCGGGCTCGGGCCCTTGCGCCCTGCACGCCCCGCGCCTGCCCCGTGCGCTCGTGTGTTTTGGGCGGTCGGCTGCGCCCCGAGCTCCTGGAGGAGGGGGAGGAGGAGCAGGAGGAGGAGGAGGAGGGAGGAGGAGGAGGAGGAGGAGGAGGAGGAGGAGGAGGAGAACAAGGAGGAGGAGGAGGAGGACGAGGAGGAGGAGGAGGGGGAGGAGGAGCAGGAGGAGGAGGAGGAGGAAGACGAGGAGGAGGAGGAGTAGGCGGAGGAGGAGGAGGAGGACGAGGAGGAGGAGGACGCAGTGTGCCAGGACGGGAGCCCAGACGTGCTCGCGTCGCAACAACAAGCACGACGGGCTGTTTTTGCCAGTTCTTCGGCCTCTGGGGGCCCTGGCCGGGCCTCGGGACCTTCAGAAAACGGCTCCGAAGGAGAAGCCGGTGCCGGGGAGAGGGTCGGGGCTCGTCGCATGTCCGGGGAGATTTCGTTGCAGAGCGATCGGGACCGCACTCAGAGCGTTCCGCAGCGCTCTGACGGCCGCGGTGCCCGGGACATCCTCCTGAACCGCGAGATCTCAGAGATCCACGACTCATGACAGTCCGATGTTGCCCTCGTCCTGGCTTCGTCTGCATGGCCGTCACTTTTCTCGAGCTCCGCCCGCTTTCGGCCTCGGAGGGAAGAGCCTGTGCGCACGAGTGCGATTAAAGGCCGCCACGGTACGTGCTCCGCCCGCTTTCGGCCTCGGAGGGAAGAGCCTGTGCGCACGAGTGCGCTTGAAGGCCGCCACGGTACGTTGTGCTCACATCTGTTTTGTGCGTTCGGGCCCGCTGTTCGGGGGCGGCAAAGAGGGGGGTGATGACTAGGGGGGGGCGGGATATCATGGCGGGGGGCCATGATATTTCCCCAGATTTCATGGCGCCTCTTCTTATTTCATTACGTCCCTGGCCCCCCCGCTGGGCCGCGCACATGCCGCCGGCCATGATTTGCACCCCCCCTCCTGGACACCCCCCTCTTGGCCGCTCCCCTCTCTGCCTGTGCCGGGTGCAGCTCGCCCATGCCCCATCTCACCCCGTGCCTCTCGCGTCCTCGCTCACCACACCCCTTCTCCGCCCTGGGGCTCCACCTCCACCTCCACATCCGCCCTCCTGCTTCCTGCTCTCACTCAGCCGCAACTCAGTCACAGTGTGTCGGTGGTGTATTTCCAGGGCGCTCAGAAGTGATCGGCCAGTGCCCACGCTGGGTTTGCACCGCGTCATCACGACACCGCGGCACGACGCCGCGAGACCGCGGCCAGAGCAGCACTACCACGGCATCACGACACCGCGTCACCACGACGCAGCGACACCACCGGATAACTGCACGACGATATTGCGGCACACCGCAGAACTGCGACCCCGCGATACACTTTACATCCCGACACCACGTCACTGCCACGTCGCACCGCCAAGAGACCATGACACCACGACGCCGATCGCGAGTGTCTGTGATCTGAGTGGTAGAAGGAGGATAATTCCCAGCATGGCCCTCGACATCGTAGCATATCGTAGCACCACCTTCTGTGCATGCGCGACACGTCACGCACGACACGAAAGCTTACATACTCTTCGGTTGGATATTCCATTAACGCCTCGGCGCGATCTTGAGCTTGAGCAGTGGCTTGTGCTTGAGCGAACGTGTGCTGAAGCGCAAGCTTCCAAGTGGTCAGCGAGCCACATCATCGTCTACCCGAAGCAAGATCAACCTCCTGCTAATCTACGCCGAAGTGAGCTGATCCAGGCTGAGTTGAGTAGGGTTGAGGTGAGAGAGGGGTTGAGCTGAACCAGGCACAGGCGTAGTCACCGCCATACGAGCCGTCAGCAGGAACTGTCCTGCAAAACTGACAGGACGACAGCAACCGTATTCCATGACGCGGCTCCAACTACTCCCTTTGGCATGCCCCACGTGCCATGAGGACGTCAGCGTGAGTCGCGAAGCGAACGGAGAAGCGTTCATGGTCTGCGCTCCAGAGGACGACGCTCCTTGCTCCATCCACCCCTCCTCCCCCTTCGCTTCTCCCCGTGCCAGCTCCCCCCGAATGGTTTTGTTGTCATTATTTGCTCTCTCTCTCTCTGTCACTTTTTTTGTTTTCTCTCTCTCTCTCTCTGTCTCTTTCCTCTCTCTCTCTATAGATGTATGCCTCTCTCTGCCCCCTCTGCCTATCTCTCTCTGCCTCTCTCTACCTCTCCCCCCTCCTCCCTCCGGCCGGAGGCCCTGGCGGGCGACGTGGACGACCCCGAGGACCTGGTCCAAGCCCTGGCCGCGGTCGAGCGCGAGCGGTCGTCGGCGCCGCCCGCCCCCCCCCCCTCCGGCCCGCGGTCTCGACGGGCTGGCCGGCGCCCGGATCGATCGAGGATCGAGGATCGAGGATCGAGGATCGAGGATCGAGGATCGAGGATCGATCGAGGATCGAGGATTGAGGATCGATCGAGGATCGAGGGTCGATCGAGGATCGAGGATCGAGGGTCGATCGAGGATCGAGGATCGAGGGTCGATCGAGGATCGAGGATCGATCGGGGGGTCGAGGATCGAGCAAGCTAGGCAGGCCACGAAACGGCGGGAGTTCCATGGAGGAGGGCCCGTTTCGTGTTCGTACTCAACCACGTTCTTGTCCTCATGCTCCTCCTTCTCCTGTTTCTGTGTTACCCGCAATCCCAAGGGCGAGACGTCCTCCTCGTCCTCCTCCTATCTTCATCCCAAACCCCTCCTTTTCTGGCGCTTCTTCGCTGGCGTCTTCCGCGAACCACGCGCGCTGAATCCGTGGCACTGCCGCCTTGCTGGATCGCCTCAAGCATGCAATGTTTGATGATCTGCCGTGGAACAAGAACCAAGAATCCTCCTCCCCCTCCTCTCCCTCCTCCTCCTCCTCCCTCTGTCTCACGTCGGCCCTTCTTTAACGTTCTGCTGTGCTTTTTGGGGCCTCCCGGGACACGGGCGCATCTGCCTCGGAGCGCGGGTCAGGATGCTCCCCGGGAGGGGGAGGAGGAGGAGGAGGAGGAAGAGGAGGAGGAGGAGGAGGAGAAGGAGGAGGAGGAGGAGGAGGAGGAGGAGGAGGAGGAGGAGGAGGGGGAGGAGGAGGAGGAGGAGGAGGAGGGAGGAGGAGGGGAGGAGGAGGAGGGAGAGGAGGAGGAGGAGGAGCCTGGAGCAGGGAGTAGGGGGGAGGGTCCCGGGACCGACTTGGGGCGCACGTCCGGCCCAGGCGGGAGAGCTGCCGCGGCCTCCACCGGCCCTCCCCCTCCTCCTCCTCCTCCTCCTCCTTCTCTCCTCCTCCTCCTCCTCTTCCTCCTCCTCCTCCCTCCTCCTTCTCTTCCTCCTCCTCCTCCTCCTCCTCCTCCTCCTGCCTGTGGCAGTGGTGTTTAGTGGTGTTGGTGGCAGTGCTGGGCGGTGAGGGCCTCCCCGAGTTCTCCCGCTCCCCGTGCTCGAGGCAAGGCCCTGTCCGAGACTACATCGGAAGCTGGAACGTATTACAGTACCAGTGGCGGGCTGTTCTTGAGTCCCAGGACTTTTTGAGGGTCGGGGACGACGCTGGGGTGGTGTGGTGTGTATACTGTTTTCCCCCGATTTCCCGGGAAACAGCGAAACATGTATACAACAGGATCCCGTATACACCAGAATCCGCGTTTTTGTGCAAATTTCAGCGCAGGGTCGGGAAACGCGTCAGTGTATAGAGTTCGTTTCCCTACTACAGTCAAGACGCTGAAGTAAGGAACTGTTAGGGTTCGGAAGTGGCTCGATGTTTCCCAGGTTCCTCCATTGCTGTCCCTCTCGCCCTCCTCGGGCACGGAGGCGTTTCTGGGCAAGAAAGGGGCTGCGTTCCTTATTTAGCGTTCCTTCTTTCAGCGGCCCGACTGTGGAATCGCCGACGCCTCCCTGGTCTGGTTGGAGGTTCCGTTCCCTGAGATCCGACGTTGCGAAGCACTTTTTCCGGCGGCGGCGAGGCAGAGGAGCTGCACCAGCGAGGAGCGCTCGGGGCGACCGAAACGCGAATTGGCCAGCATGCAGGAGAGGGGGGACAAGACAGGCAGGGCGGCCGCGAAGGACAGGAGGAGGCGCAGGGCACTCAGACGTGGAAGAATTCCACGCAGAGCGCGCCGGCGCGGCCAGCAGCGGCAGCGGGGGCCGTAGCAGCAGCCGGGCCGCGGCGTCGGTGCACCCATGGGCGCTGCCGAAGCACAGTACGAGGTAGCACAAGTAGAAGCGAAGACGGAGTCCAGGTTTCGGACTGCCAACAGCAAAATGCTGTTCGCTGCGGCAAACATGCGGCGTCGCCAAAAAGCAAAGCCAGAGCCACAGGCCCCATCTGTCTGCGGCATTATTCGAGCCGGGTCGATCTGTGATGGCCTCGGGGCCCCCGAGACCAGGTGAGATCGGAGGTTGATAGACCTCCTACCCTGACACGTCGATTAGCGAATTGGTCGTTTTCGGTTCGCGAGAGGGCGTCGCGGCCGTCAGTTTTGCGGGTCCAGGTCCGTCGGTTTCGGTCTTGCAGTAAGCCGTTTTCCGTCATTTTTGCGGGTCCAGGTCCGTCGGCTTCGGTCTTGCAGTAACCTGTTTTCATTGGCTGGTGGTTTAGTAAAGAGAGGCTTGTGTACCGCTGATAAGAACACCCGGTGAGAAAATGTTCATAGCTATGCCCAGATCTCAGGGCCCTCCTTGCTTCCGCGCCTTCCATCAGAGCTCCGGGTCCGGACCCGCCGACGGGGCCTCGAGGCTGGCGCCCGCCCCCCGGTTGCTCGCTCTCCAGTTTTCTGCCAGGTCCAGTCCCGCCGACGGGACCTCCTCCGGCACGAAGGGCGGACGCGGATGGCTCTGAGAGTCAACTGCCGGGTTGGAGGGATACGTGTTCAGACCATCCGTGTCCTTCCAGGCCTCCCTGATGGGGTCGGAGGATGTTGGGCCGGAGGATCGCAACGCACCGCGGATGCATGGGCGACACATCGGCGCGATGTTGGCGATGCGGCTCGATGTGGGGCCCAATGTTCTCCACGCTGACGTCGCCGATGCATCGCCGACGTCGCCAGTGCATGGCCGATGCATCGCCGATGCGTTCGCGACGCATCGCCGATATATCGGGCATGCGGCTGGCGCGATCCTCCGACCTCATTTATTCGGATCCCATCCAGGAGGCCTCTAGTGATCGCGTATGCTGCAGGTGTAGTCGTACCCTGTATCTTCCCAGGCCCTTCCCCTAACACGAGGTTTGTTATGCTCTGTGGCGCTCTTGTGTTAAGTCTGGCCTGTCCCTCTACAGGGGGGATATTCCAACATAGTCACAAAGTCGTATGGGGATTTTTTTTTTGAGTAGTTTTGGGCATCGTTTGAATATTTGTTGAGTATGTTTAATTTGTCGTCCAAGATCCTTCTGTAGGGGGGACGGGCCCGACCCAACTCTTGCGGGGGACGCGTGGGGAAAGCACGACGTGGTGCGCAGAGGCAGTCTGTCGGCTGCCAAAGGGCCCGCCCCGTGCCCCCGGAGGCCGGCCCCGAAACGGTGCGGGGTGGAAGGAGACTGGTCTTAAGTCGGGCCTGTCCCTCTACCAAGGGCTCCCCCGAGGGCGCGAAGTTATTCGCGCTTCGCGCTTCGCGGTCCTCGTTCCTCCTCCCCCTCCCCCTCGTCCTCCTATTCTCCCTTTGGGGGGGCGGCGCGAGAGCGCGAAGTTATTCGCGCTTCGCGCTTCGCGCAGCGCGAAGCGCGAAGTTGGGAGCCCTTGCCGAAACGGTTCGGGGTGGAAGAAGACTGGTCTTAAGTCGGGCCTGTCCCTCTACAGGGGGGCGACTCAAACATAGGCAAACATAATCTGGGTCTTATGTTTTGAGTTTTGTTTGACCCTTTGGGGGTATTTTTCTTAGTATTTCTTTTTTCGTCGGAAATCCCCCCCTGTAGGGGGACACGCCCGACTTGAGGCTGGTCCCGACGAAGGTGTCCAGACCTCTGACCAGGGGAGGCCAAGTCCTTCGGGGAGTGCTCGATCTCCGTTTTGTTGTTTGTTTTCTCTTTTCTTCCGTTTGGACTCAGCCTCCCTTGATGGGACGCTGCGTCTGCACGGAGTAAGTCCATACAGAGTGCTCGGTCTTCGTCTGGGCTCATTATGTCTGGATTGCGCTTCTCTTGAGGGTGACACAAATCGTGACGTCGTGTGTCTGTGTGTGTGCTGGCGGCCTCTTTTTCAGCAGGCTCCCCAGCAGGGCCGAGGCAGTGACTACCGAGCATCCCGCCGCCGCTGCAGCGGAAGCTTCTGCCCGCCTCGCGTTGCGCGGTGCTGTGCGCAGGCGACTTTCCGGTCCATCAGAAGGCAGACCGCGGCACTGGTCTGCAGAGCGATGATGAAGTCGTCTGGCATGCCGATGGGTACTACGAAAGTTCTGGCTGATGGTTTCGTGCTCCGCGACGCGTGAGGCGTTCAAGCGATGGCCTCGCCTTCGAGGATCGAAGGAGGTCATGTGTCTTCCTTGGCGGAAGGGTGGCGGAAGGCGGCGTAGGTAGCGGCGGAAGGGTGGTGGAAGGCGGCGTAGGTAAAGCGTGGGCGGCTCCGCCGGCTGAAGCCGGCGGAGGCCGGCGGATGCTGGCGGAAGGAAAACCGGCATCTTAAGATCGGGTATAGCCAGGACCCCAGGTAAGGGGACCCGGTTATTAGTAGGGCCCAGGAGCTTTAAGATTTGCCAGAATCACTAAACCATGTTTACCGTAGCTGGTGTTTTTTCGGGTGACGGCAGTTCCGGTTAGTGGAACTGGGCGGGGGGGGGCGTCCCCCAGTACACATCACTAAGCCAGGTCCCACTAAACCCAGTTCTGCTAACGCCTGACAAGAGATGGCAAGATTTTCTTGGTTCAGGGTTTCTTGAGCCTGCAACGTGGGTGGACCTCCGGTCCATTGGAAGGCAGGCGCCAGCGCGATGTGCTCTCGTCGGTGTTCGGCAACTTCGGTTGTATGTTGCAAGCGTCTGGTGCGCCGCTTCGTCGGATCTCATACCGTCGGAAGGCGAATCGACAGATTCCGTCTGCCCGCGCCAGCAGTTCTCACCGAGTTCGTGCGCCGTGCCGAGTCTTTGCGACCTCTTTCAAAGCCATGCTCAGTGGAAGTATTCCAAGCCGAAGATTTGAGAACTGTGTGTTGATGATGTCCCATGTTGAGTCGTCAATTGGATCTCGGACGTGTGATGCTCGAGCTTGTGTGCGTCCTAAGCAGAGTCGTCTCTTCGACCTGGCCAACCCGGAGCCGGAGTGGCATTGAGACCTCAAGCTTTTCTTTTGGGGGCCACTTCCAAGGACATTTCGACCGAGGGCGGGGAGGTCGGGGAGGTCGGGTCGACGGTTTCGCTCTGGACTCCCTCGGAATCTTTCTTCCTTCGTTTTCGAGGACCGTCCGTTGCTCATTTTCGCGTCGTTCTGGTTCGGGGGATGGGGACATCAGGCAGGCGGCCCACGGCACTCTGTTTTTGGTCGGCCCGAGCCTCTGCCTGCAGCAGTCCTGGACCTGCTCATGTCAGGAGGGAAAAAACACACAGACACAATTCATCGTCGAGTCCCCAGAAAATATGGGAAGTGAGGGGGAAGACGAAGACCCAGGAAATATGGGAAAATACGGGGAATGCTGTTATCTGTGTGTATTTCTTTGTGTGCCCCAGGGCCACTTCAATGGTGGTGAGCCCTCCAGGGCTCAAAGTCGCAGTTCGATCAGATCCACTTGGAGTTGCCAGCGCTCCCAGGAAGCCTCGATGAATCTGGGAAGTTGACCGACGGGTGTGCTGGCGCAGATCGTGCAGCACGGTGGAGGTGCGTTTGGGCCCCCCCTTCTGCTGCCCTCTTCGGGGGCCGCGGGGCCGTGAGGGAGTCCTCGGCCCCCCTCCGGTGCCTCAGCGGCACCCGTGAAGAAGGGAGTGGGGGGACGCACGGCCGCACGAGCGGCACGGAGCCAGTCGGCACCGCGGCGCGGGAGGAGAGGGGCGGCCCCGAAGAGTGGTCGCCACGGAGCTTCACGGAGCGATGGAGTCATGGCAGTCTGAGTCATCAGAATGGGAGGCGGCGGAGGTCCCACACACAGATGTGCCCGACTTGACAGGCGGAGGCGGCGGGGATGTCAGGCCGAACAGCGGTCCTCACCCTGGGGGGGAAGAGGCGGGATCCAGCGCAGCCGCCGGTTACGCTCCGTCATGCGCGACTTCCTCGACGGAGGGGCCGTGGGAGCCGGAGTCCGAAGAGGTCCTCGGAGCCGAAGGCCTCAGGTGAGACTCCTGAAGCTGGGAGTCCATGCATTTCCTTCTCATCTCTCCTGAGGAGGGGGAGGAGGAGGAGGAGGGGGAGGAGGAGGAGGAGGAGGAGGTGGAGGAGGACGAGGGGGAGGGGGAGGAGGAGGAGGAGGAGGGAGAGGAGGAGGAGGAGGAGGAGGAGGAGGAGGAGGAGGAGCCTAGGGGGAGAGAGCGAATGGCGGTTGGAGGGGCAGGAAAGGAGGAATGGCGCTGTGCTTGGTGATTCGACGAATAAGAAGGAATGGGCAGGGATTTTTCTGAGGGGGGAGGAAGATCATGGAGGAGGGAGCATGGATAATGATCATGGTGATGAGGATGATGATGGCGATGATGACGATGCTGCTGCTGCTGATGATGATGACGATGCAGGTGATGATGGTGATGATGCTGGTAAGTTTGATGATGATGACGACGATGACGACGATGCTGATGGTTATGCTGCTGCTGCTTATCATGATGCTTACGATGACGCTGATGATGATGATCATGATGCTGATCGGATGATGATGACGATGATGATGATACTGATGAAATGATGGTGGTGGCGCTTGTGATGGTGATTGTGATTGTGATAATGCTGATGACGCTTATGATGACGCTGATGATGATGATGATGATCATGGTGATGTTGATGACGATGCTGACTGATGCTGACGACGATGATGTTGATGATGATGCTGATCACGAATATGCTGATGTTGATGATGCTGATGATGATGATGATGATGATGATTATGCTGATGCTGCTGCTGCTGCTGATGATGATGATGATGAGAAGATTCGTGTCATGATGAGGATCATGATGCGCATGAGGAAGATGAAGAGGAGGAGGTGAGGAGAAGGGGGATGATGAGGAGGAAGAGAACCAGTGTAAGCCCAAGACGCATCAATGATTTTGCATTAACCCCTCCTTCCAAGTTCCCTCTTCAAAGGTCCTTACAAGAGTTTGTCCGTAAGGGCTTCGCCCCATGCCGCCGGCCCCCTTCCTCGGATAATGGGAGATGCGAAAGCTAAATCATGAGACCTGGGCGCCGCCGTGAAGCAGTGTCGGGACCTATTTGTTTTTCGACCCTGACCCTACGGATCTGCGTCAGGGGTGCCACCGAATTTCAGACATGTGGCAAATCCCTTGTGTTTTTGGACCCTGACCCCGCCGATTTGTGTGAGGGGTTCCAGCAAATTTCAGAAATGTGGCAAATTCTCGATGTTTTCGGACCCTGACCCCGCCGATCTGCGTGAGGGGTGCCATCGAATTTCAGAAATGTGGCAATGCCTTGTGTTTTTGGACCCTGACCCCGCCGATCTGCGTGAGAGGTGTCAATTTTTACCCACCCCAGTAATTCAGAGCACACGCTCAGGGCGTGATAAACCTGCCAGTTTGGGCCTCCCCCCCTCGCGCGGTCCATCAACAAGGAACAGTAAGCAGCAAAAGCATAATTGTAACAGTGGAAAGTGGAAGCTGCAACTGGTACAGGAAACTACCAGCCTTCGCCCTGTAGCCTGGTGGCCCCACAAGGGGGCCAGCGGATTGTCACTGCAGGAAATGGCACATTAAACGGTAACCGTCTGAGAATCCTCGATCGTGCCAAATCACAATTCTTGGGACTACAGCGCCGCGGATCAACGTGACGGTTGCGTCCTGGCATCCTACATCGTGCCAGAAAAGCGTTCTCTTGACTTCAGGCACCACAAGTCGACTGGACCATTGCGTCTTGACAATTTCAAACCGTTCCAGAACATCCTGCTTGGGACTTCAACCATATGAGCCTTCGAAACTGTCGCAAAGTGCTAAGACGAATACGCCCCCTGAGGCGAGAACCACCTTATGAAAGAGGAGCCGCCCTTTATCTTTGACATTGCTGCAAGCCTCCAGCGCGAATGTGCGCGGCGCTCAAAGGAGAGCCACATTTTGAAACGGACCGGTCCTCAATCTTTGAACTCGTTGCGAACTTTCAAGACGAATGGGCGTTGCGCTGATGCGAGGACCACATTTTAAAACTGTTCGCCTCCATCCGTGCAACTCGTTGCACGTTGCAGGCTGCAGGGTCATAAATGGTGAGGGGTCCCAGACACATCTGGGGAAGGGGTGCAGGAGGAGGAGGAGGAGGAGGACGAGGAGGAGGAGGAGGAGAGGGAGGAGGAAGACGCAGGAGGCAGACGGAGCAGCAGCAGCAGGGGCGCGTGCCGGCAGCCCTCGGCGCCCAGGGTGCGGCCGAGGAGTGCGCGGGCGCGGCGGACACCTTCGCCTCCTCGGCGCTGTGCTCGCTGGAGCGGGAGCTGAGGAGCGCCCCGTCTTAGGTCTTCATCGGCACCGCCCGCACATGCTTCTATTGTGTGCGCGTCGGCCCCGGAAGGGGGGCGCGCACGCCAAGAAGCCTTGTCGTGCAAGCTGCGTGGCGGGCGGTTTCTGCTCGGGGGTCGATCTGCGAGAAGCTGTGTGTGCTACATGCTCGTGTCGGACGTACGCCTCCAACATCAGCACATCGTGCTAGCCTGCGTCCCAGCTGTGTGGCGCCAGGGGCAGGGGCTGGGGACCGGGGCCGGAGCCGGGGGCCGGGGGCCGGGGGCGGGGCCGGGCCGGGGCCGAGGCGGGGGAGGGGTTCTGAGGACCCCTGCCGACAGGGAGACCACCCCCTGTCCCCCTTCTCCATACTGGGTGCCGCCCAGGTGATGCCGGGTCCCTGCATGGGGGGGGCGGGTAATCTGACTCGGACCTCCCCCCCCCCACCCCTTCCCCGTCAGGGAGAGGGAAAGGGGAGGGAGTCGACTTACTACGAGATTTCTTCTCTCTGTTCGTTTGTAGATTCCTTGGGACTGGCGACGACGACGAAGACGACGACAGCACCTCACACACGCCGACTGCGTCGGCGGATTTGGGTGGGCCGCCGATTGGTTCGCCGTGAATCACACGGCTCATGAGGGAATCTGTCCTGGTGATTTCTCGCTGTGTTTGGGGTGGGGGCCCTCCAGTGGCCCCGGACCGTCAGAGAACGACCCACATGAAACATTGGTCGTTGCCCAGAGGTTTGCTTGCTTGCTTGCTGGCGCCTCGCCTCCAGCCTCGCGCCACCTCCCGCCTGCCGCGCCCGAGCCCCCCGTGAAGAGCTGTGCCCCGCAGGATCCGGATCTCGGCGCTGCGGGACGACGCCGCGGCGCCTCCCGCCCCGCTGGCTCCCCCGCCCCCCCCCTGCCTGGTATAAGGTTTCGGGCTGCGTGAGGGCGGCCCTCCCGGCATGGTAGTCCGCGGCCTTGGGTCGGCATCTCGCGCCGCCGGTTCTGACCCACCGCGCTCAAGTCAAGTCGGGCATGTCCCTCTACAGGAGGAATGTTCAAGAATGGTAAAAGAGGTAGCCTGTGGACGACTTTTCGTTCACTTTTGACTATATTGGATTTCTTGTTTGGGGGGGCTATCGTTAATTTGTCCTTCAAAACCCGCCTGCAGGAGGAAATACCCGACCTGACACCACGCTTCAGCGCGACACGTCCCCGGGTGTCAACGCCCCGAGGATTTCCCAGCCCTCCCGCCCCGCGGAGCGGAGCGACACGCCATCCGCCTGCAAGGCATGGCGCGTCGCCCAGACCGCCGCCGCGAAACGCGAAGCCAAAGTGCCCCAGGGTATACTGTTGTAGAAAAGTGCTGCAGCTTAGATCGTCGATGTGTCTGTTTTCGTTGCCTCTGGTTCTTAGCCGTTGTTGTTCTCCGCGAGCTGTTTTCGTGCCCATGGGACCGTCAGAAAAGCACCCAGTATGCAACGCAGATCCCAAGGGCCCAGGGAAAGGGAAGTCCCCCGGACGATTGTTCGACACGACCTGCACAAGTTGCTTTCATGTTCCTGGGGGGTGTAGGTCGTCCTGGCTGGCCTCCCCGAATAGTCCCAGTTGGCTTCAGCAGGCCCCCCGAGGAGGAGGAGGGAGGAGGTGGAGGATGAGGAGGAGGAGCAGGAGCAGGAGGAGGAGGAGGAGGAGGAGGAGGAGGAGGAGGAGGAGGAGAAGGAGGAGGAGGAGGAGGGAGGGAGGAGGAGGAGGAGGAGGAGGAGGGAGGAGGAGGAGGAGGAGGAGGAGGAGGAGTGGAGGAGGTGTTGAGGCCGCCCCGAGCGGCCTGGCAAGGCCGGCTGGGGCCGCTCGGGGAGCCTGGGAGGCCAGCTGGAACTGCCTGGGGTGGGCTGCCGGTGCGCAGGCCCGAAGCCTCGTCAGTCCTCCTCCTCCTCCTCCTCTTCCTCCTCCTCCCACTTTTCCTCCTCCTCCTCCTCCTCCCACTTTTCCCTCCTCCTCCTCCTTCTCCTTCTCCTTCTCCTCCTCCTCCTCCTCCTCCTCCTCCTCCTCCTCCTCCTCCTCCTCCTCCTCCTCCCCCTCCCCCTTCTCCTCCTCCTCCTTCTCCCCTCGCCCTCCACCTTCCGCACCTTCCGGAAGGAAGGTTTTCTGACGTTTCTGAAGGGTTTGTTGATGTCTTCGGATGTCTTTGGATGTCTTCGGATGTCTTTGGATGTCCTTCGGATGTCGTTGAATTGTTCTTGAATTATCAGAAAACTATATGCGAGCGTGCTCCCGACACTATGGTTGGAGAGGACGTACATGTGCGTTAGGTATAGTGATGATGACAGAACGACATGTAACAATATGTTAAGGTCATTCGTGTATGTATTGTCGGTGGGCTACTGTGTATGTCTGTATGTATGAGCGTATGCATGAACATTTGTCTTGTGTATATCCATGTCTGCACTTATGCGTTACATTGAAGGCCTATTATTAGAGCAGTCGGTCCTCTCTGACGCGCGGGTCTGGAGTGCCACGGTTCTCCTTGATCGATCCATCGTCCTCCCCCTCCTCTTCCTCCTCCTCCTTCTCCTCCTCTTCCTGTTCGACCTCCTCATCCTCATATAGACCTTCTCTTCCTCTCCCCCTCCTCTTCCTCCTCCTCCTTCTCCTCCTCCTCCTCCTCCTCCTCCTCCTACTCCTAGCGTCCCCTGGTGCAAACTGTGAGCGCGAAGATGGCTGCGCGTTGTCGTGTCGTGTGGTGTTGTTTTCGTCGGCATTCAGAAGTCGACGTCGCCGTCGCGCCGCCGCCGTCGTCGCCGTCGAAGTCGTCGTCGCAGCCGTCGTCGTTTTTGTTGTCATCGTCGGCGGCGGCATCGTCGTTGACAGCGTCGTCGTGAGCGTATCCGTCGTCGTTTGTTGTAATCGTCAGCACCAGCACAACACCAGCGAGCAGCAGAGCAAAAAGCAAACAGCTAAACATCAAGCGGTCAACAGCACCAGCGCAACACTAGCAGCACTAGTGCTGCTAGTGTTGCGCTGGTGCTGTTGGCCAACATCACTCGAGCGGATCCGTGGCCCATATCGGCTCCAACCCAGCCCGATGCCCAGCCCGACGCCCAGCCCGACGCCCAGCCCGACGCCCAGTTCGTCGGCCAGCCCGACGGCCAGCCCGACTGTTGGAAGGTGCCTCCTCCTCCTCCTCCTCCGCCTCCTCCTCCTTTCGTTATGTCTCTCCTTCTCCTCCGCTTCGAAGCTCCTCACCCTCCTCCTCCTCCTCCTCCTCCTCCTCCTCGATCATACTCCTCCTCCTCCTAGCTCCTCCTCGCTCTCATCCTCCTCGCGCTCCTTCCTCCTCTGCCTTCTCCTGCTCATCATTTCTCCTCATCCGCCTCCTCCTCCTCCTCCTCCTCCTCCTCATCATCATCATCATCATCATCGTCATCATCATCATCATCATCATCATCATCATCATCATCCCCCTCCTCCCTTCTCCTCCTGGCCATCCTCCTCGGTCGTATCATCATTGTCCTCCTCATCGTTCTCCCGCTGCTCATCCTCCCCTCCATCCTTCTCAGTATCCTTATTCCCCTCCTCGCATCGTCACCCTCGCCGACATTGCGCCCCTCCTTCCTTTTCTAACGTGCGCCCTCATCAACCGACGCACCCTGTTACCCTTCGCGCTGCCTTCATTGCCGTACTCTCGCCCCCATCGCCTACTCATGCTCCGTTTCCTCCTTACCTTCATTCCCTCATCATTATTGCCCCCCACCCGACCCCTCATCTGCAGCACCGTTCTCCGTGTCGTCCTCGCCTTACTTCTCATGTCCCTCTGTGCATTCCTCCTCCTCCTCATCCTCCTCCGCCTCCTCACCATTATCAGTATCATCTTCCCACGTGTTCTCCGCATCCTCCCACCCCCTTGTTCTCATCAGCTTTCTCAGGGAGCGCCGCCCAGCATGCGCCTCGAACGCTGGTTCCAACAGATGTTGGAACCAGCGTTCGAGGCGTGGTCCTGCGCCACCAGGTTCGACGTCGGCCAAGCCAACGCCCAGCCCGACGCCGAGCCCGTCGACCAGCCCGACGCCCAGCCCGTCGGCCGGCCCGACGCCGAGCCCGTCGGCAAACCCGACGCCGAGCCCGTCGGCCAGCCCGACGCCGAGCCCGTCGGCCAGCCCGACGCCGAGCCCGTCGGCCAGCCCGACGCCGAGCCCGTCGGCCAGCCCGACGCAGAGCCCGTCGGCCAGCCCGACGCCGAGCACGACGGCCAGCCCGACGCCGAGCACGACGGCCAGCCCGACGCCGAGCCCGTCGGCCAGGCTCCTCCCTCACGCTCTGCCTCCTCTCGCCTCCCCCATAGGTATCTCATCTCCCTTCTAGTCGACCCTTCTGCATATCCTCCCTCATCTTCGTTCCCTCCCCTCCGTTCTCTATACCGTCCTCCATCCGTCGCTCCTCCTCCTTCCTCTGCTCACCATCCTCCTCCCTTTGCTCCTCCTCATCCTCCCCTGCATCCTCCTCATCCTCCTCCAACCGATTCGATCCTTCTCCAGCCGATTCGATCCTTCTCTGGCCCAGGCGGTCGGCGACGCCGCGGCGACGGCGACAACAAGCAGGCCTCCCCGCCTGCCCGCCGCTGGCGCGAGGATGGGGAGGAGCGAGGGCGAGGGGGATAGACGAGTGAGATCGAGAGGATGGGAGTGGATGTAGAGAACATATGCCGAGATAGAGAGAGAGAGGGGGAGAGAGCGACGAGCGCGTGGGGAGAAGGGGGAGGGGGGAGAAGAGGCCTAGGAAGGACACCATATGCGATGCTGAGGATTATGATGATAAGAGAGAGCATGGTAGGATGATGGGGACGAGGAGGAGGATGAGAAGGATGAGATGGAGAAGGCGAGAGAGGAGGAGCATCGGCGGAGCAAGACACGAGACGACACCATGGCAAGTAGAGGGAGATGGGAGGGATATGGTAAGGAGGAGGAGCAAGCGGCAATGCGCATCTGTCCTTCCTCATTCTCCTCCCCGCCAGCCTCACAGCTCCGTAAGTATCATCTCTCCTCGCGCTCCTCTTCCTGTATCCTCCTTCTCCTCCATGCCTCCGACAGTATGTTGTTATGTATCGCTCCTCATATGTCCCCCCTCCTCCTTCTCATCATACTCCTCTCTCCGCCTGGCACCGCCCTCTTGGACATCTCGCGGGGTGCGTCAGGGCTCGGATGTTCACGGTACCATATCATAATTCATGGGGCCCTCTCGGGGCTCGCGGTGCCCCACCCCCCGCAAGGTGACGTGGCCTGGGTGGCCCCCTTTCGAAACGGCCCATGGGTCGTTTCGAAAGCCCTGTCCACCCAGGCCACGTCACCCCGTGGGCAACTGTTCGGTTCAAGTCGCGCCCGACTCAGCCGAGCTGCCAGGACGGCAGCCATGGACAAGCTCGTCCACGACGTGGCCGAGGCCCTGCGGCACGCTCGCGTCGAGACGACGCCGCAGGGCCGCATCATCTGCGGGTGGAACGCTGGCGGCGCCAAGGGGATGCGCCCGACGGGGGTAAACCGCCGCTGCGCCGATGCAACGCCCACCCCATCTCCGATCCCTCTGCGCCAGCCCGCCCCTCCGCTCGCTCGCGCCTGACCCGTCGAGAGCGGGCGTGGGGGCTGAGGGGGGCTGGGGAGTTGGGCGTGGAGATGGGTGGGGGGTTGCGTTGGTGCCAGCGTGCGCTTACCCGCGTCAGGGGGGCTGTGCGACTGGCTCTTGGAGAGCGGCTTCTGGCGGGTGATCAAGGCGGCGCGATGCATCAAAGAGGATCTGACCATCGACGTCGGGATCTACGAGAGGGCCGTGGCCGAGGCGCACGTGGCGGGGAGGAAGAGGATGATGAGGAGGAGAAGGAGGAGGAGGA